CCCTCTATGGCAGTGCGGGCGGGGTGGCCGGCGCTTGGCCGGCATCGTCCTTGGGAGGATCTCGCGGCTGCCCCAACCCGCCCGGCTGCTGCGGGTCCCAGTCCGGGCACTAGACTGCCCCTCCCCGCCCGCTGCTCCTTAAGGAGAAAGGGCGAGGTCTTCCCAGGAGCCCTGGACCCTCGCGGCTGCAGCCCGGTTCCCGCAGCCGCTCCTCAGAGGTCCTGCTCCCCTGCCCCCTGGATAAGAGGAAAGACTCTCGGGGCGGGCGCGGGGGGAAGCGCTGGAACAGGTCACCCAGAGAGGTTGTGGACGCTCCTTGGAGCCCCGCCCGCTGCTCCTTAAGGAGAAAGGGCGAGGTCTTCCCAGGAGCCCTGGACCCTCGCGGCTGCAGCCCGGTTCCCGCAGCCGCTCCTCAGAGGTCCTGCTCCCCTGCCCCCTGGATAAGAGGAAAGACTCTCGGGGCGGGCGCGGGGGGAAGCGCTGGAACAGGTCACCCAGAGAGGTTGTGGACGCTCCTTGGAGGTTTTCAAGACCCGGCTAGACAAAGCAATTCTGTGATTGCTCTGATGCTGCCTTGTTGATGAAGTCCATTGGCAGCTTGGTGATGTGGGTGCCACAGGCAGCAAGCAGAGAAGTCTTTAAAAGTATGTGTTTTGGCGGGGGTGGGGGTTAATTTCATGATCTGGGGGGAGCCTGACTATGGTTTAAGCTCTCCTGTCACATGCAAGCTCTCTTCACTATGTTACTATCTTGCCACAACTCTCTCTTACAAGGAAGGCCTTATAGGAAGTCTGGTATCACGGCTCCTTTCTTTTCCCAGGTTGCATCTACACAAGACGCTGACTGCCGAGTAGCCCGCTACTACTGTGCAGTAGGGCTGTGTGAAACGGCAGCATTCTGACGTTTTGATGGAACAGCATTTTGTTTCGATTCAAAACAGGTGTTCTGTTCCGTTCCCTCGAAACACGGTCATAACAGTGAAACTGTTTCGACGTTTCGCCCATAGGATATAATGGGGAAGGACAAAACAGCCTATACCTTTGTCATTTCTAGCTTGATTTGGATGAAACTGCAGGAATGGTAGTCCCTTCGGGGGCATGAAGCCTGCCACGTTTCAAGGAGATAAGTGTAGGGGGTTCGGGGAAACTGCACCCCAAAGTTTTGATAGCAAAACTTGTGTGTTGTGTATGTTACACTGCAGGGGGGGCAAAACTGCATGCATTCTAGCCCCTGCGGAGGCCACAAAGCCTGCCACGTTTCAAGGAGATACGTGCAGGGGTTTGAGGGAAACTGTACCTCAAGCTGTGGACAAACAAAACTCGTGACATGGGCAACAGTGTGTGTTAAAGCACAGTACAATCAAGATCAGTGGCGACGCATGGGGGGGCACGTGCACCCCCTGTCAGCCAGTGTTCCTGGGCAGGGGGGCAGGCCAGAGATGCTGGTGCGCCCCTTGAGAGAACCAGCCAGGGAGTCGGGGCTCATCTGGAAGTGCAGTGCTCTCTCTCCCAGAAGTGTCAGTGGCGCACCTGGAAGTGCCATGTGGGTTGGTGGGATTGGCTGCAGAGACACTCCCCCATCTGTCGATGACTGACCACTGGGCCTGACCCAAGAGTCATCAGTAGCCCATGATCAAGATAATCTTTTTCCATACCAGAAGTTGTCTGATACAAGCTACGTTGGGAGCTAGCTAGATGGCAGTAGAACACACGATTGCTATGCTGTTGTTACTGGAAAACCAGTGTTTGAAAATCTTGCAGCAAAAGGGCTGTTTTCGTTTTTTGGTGCAATTGTTTCGGACACCCAAGCTCTGAGAGACGCATTTAAAGCCGGCCTAGGCCAGGACAGTCCCGCCCGAGGGTGCGCGCAGAGGGTGGTGACCCGGCCGGCTCTGCTCGCTGCCAGTTCGAGCCCAGCTCAGCCCCTGGCGGCGCGCGCGACCGGACCGGCTTCAGCGGGCGCCACCGCGCATATTCTGGCGCATGCTCAGTCCGAGCACCCGTGCTGTGGGGTCCGGCTCCCCCGGCAACGCGCTTCCGGGCGTCGGCGCCACTCAAAATGGCGGACGGAGGCGACGGAGTGGCGGCGGCGGGCGGCCGCGGCCCCCTGAAGCTGGCGATGGTGAGGAGCCCGCTGGGCGGGTCTGCGCGAGGCGGCCCGGCCGAGCCGACGTGATCCGGGCCCGGGCTACGGCAACGCCGTGGGGGGGCCCTCCCTCCCCCCCCGAGCCGGGGCTTGTCCCAGCGGCTCCGCAGGGTCCTTCGGCAGCCTCCCCCTGCCCCTCGGGGCCGGGCTCCCCGCGCCTTTCCCCGCCCTGCCCTGGTCGCGCGGGGCTGGGGAAACTCTGCAGCTGCTCCGGGGCCGGATGGACACGGACCAGTGCAAGGACATGGCAGTGTCAGGAGAAGCGTGCAAATGAGGCTGCCCCCTTCCTTATTTACCGAATAAATGCACCCCTTTCATCTGAAATATCTTGATTTCATTTTCAAAATGCTCGTGTGCCAGATCTACTCTGATAGAGCAGGGTCCGTCTTTCTAAGAAATAAAATGCAGGGCTTGTCTGGTGGCTGACTTTGCCCAATAATAACGTGTCAGGCATGTATGATCCACTTTGGTTAGCAGACATAGCAGGCTCTGGCAACTATAAACCACTGACTCTTAACCAGGAGGCCTGGAGAGCCCCTTCAAGGGTGCTGTAGGGTGCCGTGCAATATTAGCACTGTTAGGTGTGCAAACATGATTGGTGAGATGCATCCAGAGATTTCAAATATGAATTCGGTGTTAAGATCATGCTGACCTACTGTGGTCTTTCTGAGTTGTTTGCAATAGAAACACTGCTCTATTATTTTTTCTGTAGTCAAAAAACAAGTGACAACTAAAAGCTGGCATTTGCTATGGGGCACCTTGAGTCTAATTGGAGGTGCTTTGGTTCTAGCAAAGTTGAAAACCACTGCTATAGTTGTAAATATGATCAGAGAAAATCAAATCCTAACGAAAGCAGAGTCTCTGGAGAGGATACTGCTAAATGAGAATCAGTAGCATTACAGCCGGTTCCTTTTCCTTTAGTGTTTCCAAAAGTATCTGTGGACCCTCTGGTTTGAGTCTGTTGGATTGAAATGCAGTGATTTTTTTAAATGCTAGAAATGGTGTCAGGCAAGGCCAATATCTATGTGGTATCACTCTTCCCTGGTCTAATGGGAAATTCCTCATGGGACACCATGCTAATCCTATTACCTTTATCTGCTGCAGATTTTCCTTCAGTATAGTAGAGTGATGTAGAGAGACCCTGGATGAGTTGCTGAGAGTAGGTAGGGTCAGTTGCAGCCTAGCTTCAAAGACAACTGAATCTCTTTGAGTTGACTGGCATCTGTGGCTTTTTCATGGAGCCTGTGAGGGGTCAATTTGCAGCCCATGTGGTTCCAGAACCCAGAGCTTATCGATACTGCCACTCGCCCCCTACCCCACCACTCAAACTGCTTGCCTGTGTTTGAATTTGGTGTGTTTGTTGACTGCTGGTGGCTCAAACCAATGGAGGGAAAAAGCAGGTGAATGGCAGTAGCATTCACCACTTGGGTTCTGGAGCTGTGCCAGCACAATGGCTTTGGAAACCATGCTGACAAGCCCACTCCTTGCTGCCAGAAGTGACTTGTCTGGCCTGCAAACAGCCCAGATCTGACCCAAAGAGCTAAATAAGTTGGACAGGCCTGCTCTAGACTAATATCTTCTTTTTTCTCTGCCTTTTTTAGGAGATGTTAGTAGGGCTTAGATACTTAAATTATTTTAAATATGGGAAGTCATTCTTAGAAATTTAATGTTTTGTGTTATAACTGTATTTTGCTGTTAACATTTCTGTAGGAAAAGAATCTTGTTCAAACTTTCTCTAAAAGTATAAATGGGTGATGAAAGATAAAGAAGGTGGAGTTAAGTTTCTTTGTTGCTGCTTAGTAATGTACTGCCTAGTTAGAGGAACGTTTCTCATTAGGGAGCAGGGAAATATTTAAGGCCAGAGGACAGAATGCAAGTGATATTGTGTTAGTTTTTCACAGAGGTCACTGCCCTGGGAGTGTGACAGATTTTGTGCCTGTGTGCTTTTACAGTAATCGGGCGTCTTAAGGAAGGGGATGTCTGCATGAAAGTTGATAGTTTTATTCAAATTGGTGTGAGAACACTTATTTGGTATAGCAGTGACTTTTTTGGTTCTAATCCTGTTCCTGCCTTAAAATAGGCCCTTTCCACAACATTTGTAGCAGTTTAACTTAATTGCTACAAACAAGAGCATGCTTTAAATTGTTGGTGCTAATCCTGCAAGCATTGTTTTTCAACAGTGCAGTGTGCCTATAAGGGGGTTTGCAACAGGTTATGTACTTAAAGGAGGATTTTTTTTTCTGTATGAAAGGTTCTATCATCCTGTTTGAGAGTAAGTTTTGTATGTCGCTATAATTTGGTGCTGTTGGAGCTCCTTCTCGTTCTTGGGTATGCAGTATTCTGGTTGTGACTTCCTTCTGTTGTTTGCTTCAATGTACACTTGCAAATCTTGGCATTCTCATTCTGGAGGCTCTCATTGAAGTCACTGGACTGTTTCCTGTCCCCAGATTCTGAAGACAGCCATGAGCTTTGCTTAGGTCTACACCATAAAGCTCAGTGCTGTCATGCTGCTATAACAGCTCTATAATGTTGAGAGAGGTGTACAACTCCAGCAGTGTGTAATTGCAAAGGTGGTACTTCTGATGAGATGCACACCCATTTATAGAGGAGGTGACAACTAGTCAGTATGATTCCACTGCAGTAGAAGACCCTGAGGTGAGCAGCCAGGTTGGTCCTATTCTGATAAAACAGTCACAGGGCTGCCTAATTAGTGTGAAATACAGATCCATCCATCTAAACCTGATTCTACCATAACTCATTCCAAAATTAACTTAATCCACTTTCAAAATGGATTATTTAAATCATAGTCATTGACAGTTAATTTGGGAGAAGAGCTGTATTGTATGGATTCAGGGCCTTTTTATTTGGGGGGGAAAAAAACAAAACAAAATATGTTAGTGCAAAATAACTCCCTGTAGACAACTTAGTCTTTTAATGAACTAGGAAAGGCATAACACTGTGACTTAAGCTTCACTAGAAACAAAAAGTAGAAACCTAGAGCCTGCCAAAAGAATAGTCATAATTTTTAGAGGTAAACTTTATTTCCTATTCCCTAATTATGTTGCTTGTAATCTTTTATTAAAAATGACTGTTGGCTTTCTAATAATTTCAAAAGAACTAATGCATTTTGTTGAATAAACTATCCTTTCTGCAGTTTTTTATTGGCATCTAACAGTCATTAAATAGTTTCTGTCTGCTTTCATATTTACCAAATTTTACCAGAATTATCTTACTACCTTCTTGTTGTGGCTGAAAAATTTGGAGTGCAAAGAGTAGTAACTGGATGACTCAAGGATTTAGGAATACGTTTTATAGAACTCTTAACTTAGTTGATTAACTCTATCTGAGACTATATTATTGAACCTATTGATTATCTAGAGGTTGTTTGCCTTGAACATTTGCCCCAGTGTCCGCCATTTGGTGCTGTACCATTCACTTAGGTGAAATAGTACCAAATTGTATTAGTGCAAATTGTGGCTTACCTTTCCAACACTTATATTTTGCCCTGGTTGAAATTCCACTGAGCCTAAACGGTGGTGGCAGTTGGAGGGGTGGGGAGCAGATGTGGCAGTGGGGACAGAGGCTGGCTGGGGGGGGGGGGGGGAGGGGGGAGGGGGCAGCAGCTGCAGCTTTGACTCTAACTCCAATCTCTGGTCGGGTCTGGAGTCAGAGCCGCAGCAGCCTGCCTCCTTTACCTTGTATTTGAATCCCAGATGAGGGACTTTTCTCTGTGTTGAGTGGAGGAAAAAAACCTCCTCTTGGATTCAAGTAAATACAGTGTGTTGAGCAGCCCTTCAGGTGTATTTTTTGGAAATACCTCATACTTATGGCAGCAGCATGTCAGGTTTGTTGGAAAACCTTAACTGGCATGTTCTTGATTTGCATGCTGAATGTTGAGAGTTTTCATTGTAAAATGTTTGACCATTTTGTTACTGTAGTTTGAGTTAGTATTTTAATATAATATATAGGCAAAAAAGACTTATATTGTATCAGTAGCCTGTAAGTTTGAATGTTTCTCTATGGTACAGCAAACTCTAGCATTGTATCGTTCTTTTAAATCTATAAAGCTCAAGTTGGGGGAGAGCCCTGTTTTTCAAAGGGTAGTGCCTTACATGGTTAAAAAATGTTACATTTTAGATTGAAAGTGGAGGAGGACCAAGGTATTCACTAACTTCTTAATTCTTTTATCGGAATTTTTTCTTTGAAAAAGGTGTGTTTTGGGGCCCAGCTATGTTTTCCGTCACTTTCTTATTTTTCTTATAATAATATAGAAATGTCCCAGTATGCAATTGGACCTTATTTTCATTCATCACATGCTAGAAAACGGACAGCTTTAGATCAAAATGAGGAAAAAAATTGATCTAGAATTTAAATGAAACCTTATCTGAAAGCATTGGCTTGTAAAACCTCTTTAACGCATAATAGTCTAGTTTACTTTAAAGAGGCTTTAAATAGTTTGCACATATACAATAACAGTTTTGTCTACTTATCACATATTTTTAAAGTCTCTTTTAGTTGAACAGAATCCTATTCTTAGAGTCTTCCAAGCTACAGACTGAACTCCATTATTCTTCTGGTTGTTTCAACAACTGTTCTGGGCTGTAAAGTAAAAACTCATCCTTGAAGGAGTTTCTTGGGAATTTGGGGCTGGTTTTTGAATAGCACCTGCTTGCAGTCAGTCTGATCCTGTTGCATTTTACCAATTCACTTTAGCAGTCTGCTTCTCCCAGCTCTTCTGGTTGATGGCTGGAATTCCCATCTCATGAGTGACAGATTTATACTGCTCACAGGCTAAACTTGTTTGTATGTTACTTTAAACTGGAATATCTGGCAAGGTACTGTTTTAGTTAGGGATATTGTGGAGGTCAGTTCCCCCATAATGGGTAATATAGTATTATTCCATAAAACTGTCCAGATCTTGCTTTTATCCTCTGAACTAAAATGTTATTTTGTATATTTGTGCAAAGGTGCAGACT